CTATCGATATACGTCGTCGCCTTGCGGGCTCTATTGCTATGCTCGATGCTTTCACGGCCTGAGTTATTTTTCCCACTAGATCTTCATAGTCGGCATCGATATTGCTTCCGGTATTCATGTGTAGATCTGACGACTCTATCATCGCAGCATACATATCGGCATTGAAAGTTTGTCGTACGAGTGTTCTTTGCGAATGCAGAACTCGACGTTCTTTCTTGGCATCGAAGAGGATCACCGAACGCAAAAGCCGATGATCGGAGCCAGTCGTTATCACATTTTCCCCTATAACAGAGACGTCAGCAAACAATCTTGGCGTATCGGTCAGCACATAATCAATTTGCCTCAGAGTTCTCGTGTCTGAGCTTCTCCATGTCCAGAGACGCTTCGCTTTCTTCTCGAAGAAAGTGTTCATTATTGAGAATTGATGTTGTTCTGCAAATTCGATCAAACGGTTTCCTCTGTCGTTTCTTACTCCCGCACCGTACCTTCCTATGAGGTATTCCGTATCGTCCAATCGGGAGCCGACAACTGTGTTGAAATCGCCTTGAACAATAGTGCATGTCGATTTAAGCTTCAATGCCGTCTCTATTTCTTCGTAGAAACGTTCGATTTCGTCGTCCTCCGCCGTGATAGTGGGCGCATATACTTGCACCATTTTGAGCGTTCGATTTCCCAACTTTTGTAGTTTGACCTTCAGAACAGCGACACGTGGGGATATGATATCACAAGAAATAATGTACGGGACCATTTTCGCTTTTATGATGAAACCGACTCCACCTGTTCTGGGCACATTGTTGGCTCCTTTCTCCCAGCAGAATTCTTCACCGCTTGTCACTCGCTGAAACAAGCGTGTGCTTCCTAGTTTCCGCATAAACGTTAATGTTGACTTGAGTGAAGACTTCTTCAAATTCAGGAATGCTTCTGCGTTTAAGAAAGCTATAGCGAATGTGTTCAAATATCGACTGGATATCTGAAGCGCAATGGGGGAATAGGCTGTTTCTATTGGACTCGCTCCAATCTGTCGCTTCATCGACTAGCAGTCTTACGTGTTTCACAGCAAAACTTCTTACGACAATATCTGCTTGTGTCCTGTTTCAAATAATCTATTGTATAATTTTCTGGCGTTTCTGGTTACTCCTGTTACTCCTGTTGAGGACCCTTCCTTCTCCAAGTTGACGTTTGGTCCTTATTCCTGCATGATAGCTCTTTGCTGTCAGATAGATTGCTCAACCCCATCTTACTGAACCGCACGTGTGCTACACTACTGCCTACTTAATAGTGGGCCTGGGGCCGGATTGTTAGGGGTAGGGAATACCTAACATCCGAAAATCTGGTCCCAGGTTCGGCATGCGTGCCCCTGTGCCCGTGTCGAGTGGTGTTATCCCTAGCACCATCCACTTGTCGTTCACTTGTCAACATTCATACGAACAGTAGTGTGCACTTGTTTTGTTCAGTAACCTTTTTTCCCATACTACTTCTTCAAAGAGCCCTTATTACTGATGGGCAGTCCCTACTATATATAAAGCGCTATGTCTGTCTGTTTGTGTGTGTGTGTCACGAAATTCATAGCGCGCTTCGCTGCAGCATGGAGCGCTGTATTTTGATATGATATAGGGGGTGGGACGGGAACATATTTGGTGGGGGTCAGAAAGTGATAACGACTGATAAGATCTGATAAGAGGCGCTGAAACGCAAATTTCACGAAATTCATAGCGCGCGTCCCAGCAGCAGTGGGGCGTTGGTTCCAAGAAGTGATGTACAGGGTGGGACGGGAACATGTTGGTGGGGTACAAAGTGATAAGGGCTGATAAGGGTTGATAAGAGGCGCTGAAACGCAAATTTCACGAAATTCATAGCGCGCGTCCCAGCAGCAGTGAGGCGCTGTCCCTCAGATATGATATAGGGGTGGACGGGAACATATTTGGTGGGGACAGAAGGTGATAACAGCTGATAAGATCTGATAAGAGGCGTTAGAATACAGGTGTCACGAAATCCATAACCCGCGTCCCAGCAGCAGGAGCGTAAGTTCCAGGAAGTGATGTATGGGACGGGAACACGTTCGCTGGGGGACACAAAGTGATAGGGCCGATAATCATATGCGTAGGACCATAGAAATCGCTTATAACCATGTTCTAGATAACGCATTTCACTTCAATATCATCTCATTGCGTCATCAACATAAAATACCGTTCGACCGCTACAGTCCCAAAATCCCTAAGAATGTATGATGGATGTTTAGCGATATACGATAATGGGTATTTCTATTGCAAAATCATTGGCATCAATATTATTCGACCGCTAAATCATCCTGACATCCAATGCATGGTGGTTGTTTACAGACACTTTAGCTCCGCACTCCACCGCGCGTATCAGACGGTGGCTTAAAAATGGGCATTCTATGGAAGGCCAGCTAACGCATTTCACGAAGCAAGTTATTGTTTAGCGGCGAAACCTAACGCTCCACCGGCTGTCCAGTTTTACCGAGCCCTTCCGTGTCATGCACGCGGTAGTTCTTGAGGATGAATGGGATGCTCGAATAAATATGATAATGAATACTAGGCATTCCGTTTTGAGATATTCGACCGCTAAATTACCTCGATACTCGACGCATAGTGGTTGTTTACATCATCACTTTAGCTGTGCACTTCACTGCGCTTATCAAACAGTGAGATACAGCCAAGATGCAGCCTATGCAACGGACAGTAATACATTTAACGAAGCAGCTATAATTTAGCGGTGAAACCTAAAGCTTCATCGATTGTCAGTTCTATCAATGCGCGCGGTAGCGGGCGGAGCTAAACTGGTTGTCTTATGGTTAGCTACATAGTGAGAGACCCTTGACCGTGTTGAGCAGGTCAGCTAGTGAGACAAAGGTCTTATATCGGAGCACTGCCGTTAAAGAGACCCTAAACCGAGCTGTAGAATACAATCCTCCGTTTCTTCGTCGTGTTCTGACGAGCAAAGGCATGTGTTGTATTCTACAGCTTTATTGTTACCAAAGACAGTTTTCGTAAGTCAAAGAAATGACATGCTGTCGAAAGTCTCGCATATCCTTATCTAGAACCTTACCCCAACATCATCTGGCTGTCGGGTCAGATACCTGTATATCGAATATATATCGGATCAGGTCCTCTGTTTACAGACACCACGAAATTCGCTGCAGCATTTTCAAAGGGCACAAACCCAGTTTGCAGCCGTGCAGAACTTTTTTTCTCATTCCCATAGTTTGAGAGAAGCCGTTAGTGTATAAAGGCGCCGAGCCATCTGGCTCGCGAAGCTCCCCGACTGCATCCTGATCAGGATCCCAAGGGCAGGAAGCCTGACTTGCTTATGACTCTTGATGTTTTCTGCTGATAAGAATGCGGTGAGCTTCAAAAGCCAGAAGTCTTAACGGCTCCGAATTGGAAGCTAGCATGGAGCAAAGGACAACCGCAAAAATTATCGCGATTCTAGTTGCTGGTGTCCTGGAACCAGGGTAAAAATCGTGTCGAGGACGTGGTCACATCAATACGACCCCTCCCCTCGGATCGGGACCTTGATACGACCCCTCTAACTTTGATTTGATGTGAATAAGCGAGTTCCATCAATGTACAGCAAAGCATTCAGTTGCAGCGCGGTTTATCCGTGGGTCAGATTTGCCGAAACCCCGCTCGAAACCGTCGAAATCTACACTCTCGATGAAAAGGTTCCATTCCCCATTTCATAACCTTTGGAGCAGTATGTGGTAGGGTTAGATAGAGCTGGATTTGCTACTACCGGGCAATATTGAAATTGATCTAAAAGCTTTACACTCGAAGAGATAGGTCTCTCAAATTTTGTCGAGGCAGCGTCGAGGATGCTGAAATTTTCATGCGAGTTTTTGCCACTTAAAAGGCAATATCTCTCTAATTTCGCAAGATCCTGAAAAAGAAGGAAGTTTTGGAAAGCGGAAGGTTTGCGCTTTCTGATGGTCTGCTTAGCTTCTTCTACACTTTTTTTTTGAAGAGATATCTGCGTCGAGGATGGATCTCGGCCACCTAAAAAGCCGCACCCTTCTTCACCAATGCAACTCTCGAGATGTGTCTAGAAGTAAATTCTCCCAACGCGACGGGAAAAGGGGCAATCGTCATCGTCCGATCTCGTCTCAGTATAGGCCATGCATCCGACCTCCACTCAAGTTGTAGAATCTATTGAAAGGTGTTATACATATGATGATGACCTGTTGACAGAAACTGTATTGTAGTAAACACATTTCGTAACTCCTGTAACCTAAGGAACAGCTTCATTTGCCCAGGGTCTTTCCAGAACTATTGCCGTTTTTGCGACAGCGTCCCTAACAACAGTGTCATTCTCAACGAGGTATTGAGGGCGAGGAGCGGGCGGTAGATAGAGGAAGTGCCTTCGCAGCGCGTGTGCACATGTGACCCTATTCCTTGCGAAGATGCACTTTCAGTGCTCAAATACTTCCGTCTCAAAGGTAGAGGGACTGAGCGACTTAACCTGCAAAGAATATTTTATATCATATTTTCTCACATATCCTTGTTTTCTGCTGCGCTACACCCTCTTCCCTCCTATCTGCACCACGATGCCACTGACGTTACTGACCCCCACGAGTACGACCCCCCATGACCCACCCTGACAAATACGACCCCCCTGTCGAGGATTTCCTCGACCTATATTCACCCTAGTTGGATGTTATGGAGTAAGCTTTGTAGAATGTCGTGTCAACAGGAGACTTTTTTAGGAATCATACTACAATTGTAAGAGAGTGTGGATAGCGTCATAAATGAGTATATGTTAGGCCATCCGGCCATTCACCATTTCTTAGAACTCAACAGAACGTGGACTTGGACAAAAACAGAGCTGTTCCGTGAAATACAAGACATTGCTCGCTAGAAAGTGCCACAAAACGGGTTTGGCAACGATTTGCATCTGGAGTAATGTGACCTTAGCTACTAGTTTCCATATTACCATGGTTTCGTAGTAACCTGGTGATGGATTCAATCTCAAGTCTCCTAAAACATGCGACTATGAAGACTCTCGTCGGAATAGTCGAAATGAGTTCGAATTCAGTGGGAAAAAGGGCTATCAGGGCTGTAAGAGGAGTGGCAGCGTAAAAACTAACTACGATGGCGGCAGAAAAACTAAAAATCGCCAGGCAGGCTGGTTGAGTCAAAGCAGGGTGTTGGGAAAGGGGAAAAAGTGAAAAGAAAAGCATCTTGCATGGATTTGCCAATAGATTAGCGTCTATGGCTACGCGGCTACATTGGCGTTGGATCGGTCACGGGTCAATGCAACAAGATGCCTAAAGGTTCACAAGCTTTGTAGACCATTCCGCTTTTCCTGAAAACCTTTCGCTGTCGACAAGAAGTGTTTCTTAGGATTGGAGGTCGTTCAGGGCGTGGAGCGCTTTTTGAAAACGGTTTTTTGCATGAAATAGGGGCAGGTGCAGTGAACACAGATCTATGGTCCATTTCCGCTAAATGGCCTTCTGAATGCCAAAAAAGGAGTGAAATCATTTTGTTGGAAACTGCAGTTTTTACTTGTTAAACGTGGTGTGTTTCATTCATGGCGTCAACTATAGGCATAGTAAAAGGTCGTAGTGAACTGTGCATCGAAAATAACGTGAGGTTTAGCCAAAAATGGATCCTTGTCATGCTACATGCTACGGAGTGTGCGGGAGATTCATAACAGCTATCTGCAGCTTGGATGTCGGCAGCGACGGATGGCTTAGCGGATAGTGCTGTGGACTGGAGTTGGCACGAGTGGACTGGGGTTGGTGGTTCGGATCCTTTGTTTGGGACTCCGCGCGCGAAATTTTGCGAAATTTCTTTGCATTTTATGCTGGCACCTCCATCT